CCGCCCCCACTCTTCTGTGATCCCCATGTCTGCATCTGAGGTTCTCTGTCTTACCCCTCCTCTTCCTTCTTCCTCCTGGCAAGGAAGCTCTCCTCTTTGTTTAGGCTGATGGTCGTCTTTCTTTCAGGTCAATGGCCTCTCCTCCAGGTTCTTTCCTCCTCCTTTTCAAAACAGTCCTTTCCCTCATAAATATGGATTTGAAGAAGCATTTTCCTACTGCTAATTAGCTCAGTCTGGGCTGGACGCAGGTCTGCCTTGGAGCCAGTAGGGCTTCATGGAGCTTCTCACAGGAGCCATCACTGTAGCCCCTTCTCCCACTACCAAAAACGCCCCCCTCACCCAACACAGACATTGTATTTCAGTAAGAGGGTTGTTAATTCATACATCAGTAAAAAAATGTAAGTAATTGTAAAGACTGTGCTAGTTTCATGAAAAATGTTAGGAATGTATGCTCTTACTGTTTACCTGAGTATTATAGCCAAAATGGAAACATACCTTTTGAGATTGCGGGAAAGTGAGGTTGAGTGGTGCAGAAAAATCAAGAGCAATAAATAACAATTAGAAAAGAAGACCTTTCGGGATGAGATTTGACAAAATCTGTTTTAGGGAGCAAATGAAACAAACGTCTCGTGGCAATTTGCTCTTGGCCCCACTTTCACATGTGGTTGCAGGCTAGGTAAGGGAGTGAATGATGGTGAAGGTTAAAAGGTTACAAGGCAAGGACGTTACTGCTGTTTAAGAAGACAGATGATAGAAGAGGAAGGAGCAAAAGAGCTGAGAATTAAAGCTGGAGGAGAAGAGGAGGGACAGTAAAACTGGTGAATGACAGAAGGACATGCATCTCAAGCAGCAGCAGTTGGAAGTGGGAAAGCAGGTGTGCAGCTGTGGTGGTTTCACTGGGCTAGCCCTTGGCTAGCAGCAAAACACAGAAGTTCGCTCAGTCCCCGGCCCCTCACCCAGGACATAGAGGAGAGATTTGGGGGTAAGAGTAAGGAGACTCATAGGTTGAGATAAGAACAATTTAATAACTGAAATAAAATAAAATGAAAAAAAAAAAAAAAGAGAATAGTAATAGTAATAAGATTTGTAAATGAGTGATGCAGTTGCTCACCACCCAACGACCAAGCCTGGCCTGTTCCCAGATAACGATCCTGGAGAAGCAGCTATCTCTAACCAAAACTGCAATCCCAGAAGAGTGAGAGCCCAAGCGAAAGCCAGAGAGGGCAAGAAAGGAAGAGACCCTCACTAATATACTGAACGTGACTTTATATGATATGGAATATCCTATTGGCATATCCAAATGCCAATTTAGCTTATTAATTTAAATATTCCTCACCCCTCCTAGATGTTGCACTTGTAGACTAACAAAACTGTGTCATACCGTTACATATGATACGTAAGGGTTCAGCAATAGAAAGAGAAATAGTGTTCTGCGTAGTGTTTTCTTTTTGGTAAATGATAATGTTTCACAATTGTGGTAGAAAGTGCTGCATGTCATCTGGAAATAAGGAAATGATGTGAGCTTCACTGTTAAATGTTAGTCTTATTTTCTAATCATTGCATTAATACATCTCCCAAAATGCTCTTGCTCTAGGAAGTTTCCCAAAGTGTGATGCTTGAAGCTGGTCATGCATTTACATGCAGTGTGAAATTGAGGGTATTCCTTCAGGCATAATTTTACTCAGAAATGTTCTAACATCATTAATAATGTATAAGTGTAACAGGTTTACATTAAAAGCAAGCCATAGATTAGGTCACTTCTAATCTGCACAATAACTCCTACATGGCAATTAGTGTTGCAAGAAGTATGTGAAAATGATGGAAGGGGAAGAACAAACAGATACTGAATTTTGGAGGCTAGATAACCTTTTGATTGATGACACGACCCAGTTCAAATTAAATTGCTTACTCTGGCATGGTATTAAAAATTGTTTTTCTGTACTAAAGCTCACACCATTGCTGTAAAAGAAGAAGGGGTAATAGATATTAAATAATGGAAAACTGTAAGAAAAATTTCTTTAGACAAAGCCATTTTTGGTAATTGTGATCACTCAGCATTGCAGATGTGACTGTGCCTCTCTGGGTCACTTTAGGCAACTTTATCGTGTAAAGCAGACCTTGTAAGCAGGACGTGCACCTGAAGAGTACAAGGTGATTTTTTATCAGTTAGCAAACACAGAAGACAGGTAGGATTTAATGTGCTCCTGAGCTGGGTGTTGGTGTGCATCCTGTCCCAGACAGGACACCTGAAGGGTCTTTGCTGGCCAGGCAGCTGTGAATGACGTGGAGGAGGACCACCCTTCTCTGCTCCCTGAAACAGGTCTTCATTGCTACCAGGTTGTTGTCTGCCATCTGCTTGGTTTTCCTCTTCGAGATTTGGTGCCTTTCTATATTGGTGTTTTTTGTCTTGAATCCTTAAGCTGGTAACAACTCCAAATCCTGCTTTTGTTTACAGTTTTACCTTTCTGATCTTGCACAGCCATACCCTGTGCTTTCTCTGAGGTCTTTCTCATAGCTTGGCAATTTCCTTAGAAGTAAGCCTGAGAATGGTGAAGCTGCTGTGCCATGTCAGAGCGAGACCATGGGCTGCAGCAAGCTGGACCCCCCAGAGAGAGGTCATAGAGCAGAAACGTTAAAACTCCCAGGCTAGGTATTATCAGACATCAAATGAGGAATTTAAGTGAAATTAATAATTCTTGAAATTTTAAGTGTCATGGTTGATGATTTGGGATTCTTACACACCTTTATTTTGGGTTTTTTTAATAATTTGTAAAAGTTTATTTTAATGCTGAACATTTGCTTTGTGGCAGCACTCCTGTTACAACTATTTCAGGTGTTAATAAAATATGTTATGAGAAATGCAGTTTGAACAGGCAGCAAACAGCACTCCTGGCCTTAAATACTCAGTTCACAGCTCCTGCATGTCTTTTGGAAGATTTGTTGAATAAACAGCCCACAACTGTCCTTTCTTCTGTTCTAGGTAACGGACCCCATCATGATCGAAGTTGTGTTTACAATCAGAGCAACATAGTGGATGGAGTTTACTGCCTCCCAATAGCACACTGGATTGAAGTCTCTGGACATACTGATGAGATGAAGCATACAACTGACTTCTATTTTAATATCGCAGGACACCAAGCTATCCATTACTCCAGGTAAAAGAAAAGTGCAGGGCTTGTCTGACGTCAAGTATTCAAACAGAAAATCTGTACTGATGTAATGTCAGCAAACTTTGAATTTGTAGTGGTGAATAGTATTATGTATGTAACAGTAAAGTTTAACAAAGATTCAGCACCTCTTTGCAATGAAATGTCACTTTTGGCAATCAAAAGGGGAGATTCTGAGTTCAAGAATACCTGCAGCCTCTACAGGTGTGTTAAGTTGCATCACATCTGAAAATGACTAGTGGCAATTTATGGATAAATTTGTGAGAAACTCTCATTTTCAAGTGCTTGTCCACGTACACATGTAAATATGCATGTATCTAATGTGTTTAGTTTGGCTTTATTTTGCTGAAGAACATCTTCTGGGAAACAAAAAGAATATATTCCAGCACCAGAACTTTAGGGCAGCACATCGTTGCTCATGTGCGTCAGCAACTGCAATTAGTGACAGCTGTTATAGAGGACTTCTGCTTCTGTGCATGCATTTTTTAAAAAATACTAAAACGTAGACAAGTCTCTACAATGTTTATACTTCTTTGGTGTTCACGTGAGTCCACTGCCCCACCAGTGGAGCATCCTGGCCTGAATTAGGAGACCGTAAATCTTGAAGAGAAGAGGGCACCCACCCTTTAGAGCAGCAGATAAAGCACAGGCTGTATTTAGAGCAGCAGCCTTAGCACTGGTGGTGAACAAAGTGGCACTGAGGAATTTGGGGACCATTTGTTAAGTTTTTCCCCATCTCCAGTCATGGATGTGGCATCAACTTTGTTGGCTGATAATGGTTGCATGAATCCTGGCAGCCCTGATATGCCATGTGCAGCTGGTGTTGCTTACAGAGCAGTTAGTGACCCCAAATGAATATGTATTTTTTGAAGAAATCAAACCACCTCATACTTTAATTAGGTCTTAGCACTGCTTTGTGTGAATTTGCCCAGATTACTGTTTCAGCTACTCCAGCCATCTTGTCTCCTCTTTCCCCTCTTTTGTCTCCACCCTCCCACAGATTAGGAA